CCGCCAGTCCGCGCTCGCCTGCCATGGGGATGCATGACGGGACGCTTTACAAAACTCATCCTTATCTTATGCGGCCCGCAGCTAATCGCTGCGCGCTGCGCCATGGTGGTTTCTTGCAGGGCAGGCGTGGCCCCTTTGCATTTCAACGTACACTGTGCACACATGCACACACACACACACACACACACACACACTCACACGCTCTGACACGCACATGCACAACTCACTTATGCAGGCGCGCCAAGTACAGCCTGCAGACCGTGGTGCGCACCATGGTGGCCAAGGATGACGAGGCGTTCCACTGCGTCTACCAGATGGAGGACGCCAGCGGTGAGTGCGCGACGCCAGAGGGGCAGTCATGCAGATTCAAACAGGCAGCTCGGGTCGGGGCTCGTCGACTGCAATGCGAATGGCCGGCCCCGGCCATGCACGATTGCGGGCTGGGGTGTTGGGGCGGGAGCGGCGGGGTCCGCCATGCTGGACAGGCGGGCCGTGCACTCCTCGAAGGACAGCTGAACATGCTCCTCTGAAAACTGCACCATGCCGCGTCGTCTCACATCCACACCCGCAGGCATCCGCGGCGTGCGCCTGGCCAAGGAGTTGATGGCGGTCGCGGGCCGCACCCTCAAGCAGAACATGACCACCCTGGGGCCCAGGGTGCTGCCCATCTCTGAGAAGGTGGGGGAACGGTTTGCAGCTGGCGGCTGGGTGGCGGCTTCGGCATGCAGGGCGCGGGCCTGGGTTGTTGCGAAGTACGGGTGCGGGCTGTGCGTCATGCAGGTGGACAAGTGTATGTGGGCCACCATGTGGATGTGTGTGTGTGTGTGTGTGTGTGTGTGTACGGACGACGTGTTGTGGGGCGCTCTGACCAAGGCTTGCTTGTTCCAGATGGGCAGATGGAGGCCGCAGGTGCTGCAAACATCCCACCCTCCAACTGTGTGCACCGCTGGAGGCCAGCGCACCCATTTGCCCCTCGTGCTTGCGGTGGTCGACAAACAGCTTGCTGACACCGGGGCTTAATGCCCCCCACGCTCCTCCCCTCTTCCCCTCCTTGACGCCGTTATCACTCGCCACGTGGCCTCCCCCCCGGCCCGACGCACACTATTGCGCCCTAGGTGCTGTTCGCCACCAACATGCTGGCCCGAGCCCTGCTGGGGTCCAAGAAGGTGGCGCCCTACGTGCCGGACTTCACCACCGCGTTCGAGCACATCTGCATCCACACTGGTGGGCACGCAGACTTGGTCTTGCCAGGATCCTTTGCAGGCCGCTGCGTCTCCTCTCACCCCGCCCGTTTCTAGGTCACAGCTCAGCCGCTGGCGAGACCAGATGGCTGATACCGCGAGGCCAGGCGCAGGCGCGCCCTTTTCAGCACCCTCACTCATTTGCAAGACGTCGCTACACAAGCACATGCACATATCCACACACATCCTTGCATACACGTATGCGAACACACACTCACATGCACGTACATTGTGCGCGCGCGCAATGCCAGGTGGCCGGGCCGTCCTGGACACCATGGAGAAGGCCCTCAGGCTGCCCCAGGAGTACATGGAGCCCTCACGCGCGGGCCTGTACCGCTTCGGGAACGTCTCTTCAACGTCCATCTGGTGGGGGCCGCACGTGATGACTGCGACGATGTTTGGTTTAGGCCCATGTTGCCGGCTTCGCGCGTGAGCTTGGGGCTTGCGACACAGGACAGGGGGGGGCGCTCAAGGCTCGTCGCCATCTAGCCAGCCCGCCTGCGTCGCGATCGAGTTTGAACACCCTTGGGTTACAAAAAGTCAACATTTGGCTCTTCCCTTGACCTACTGCGGGCCCCCTCCTGCGGCTCAAATGGCGGCGGGCCATCCCCGCAGGTACGTCTTGGCCTTCATCGAGAGCTACCGCGGCGTCCGCAAGGGCGACAAGGTGGGGTCCCGGATTCCGAGGTTGGCGAGCCGATCACCAACCATTGGATCGATTCGATCTCATCTCATTGGGTCTGAGCTGAGACGGCAACACGGATTGGAGCGGCCGCTCACCTTGCTTCCAGACGGCACTCATGCGCGTGCGCGCGCACACACACTCACACGCGCACACACACACACACACACACACACACACACACACACACACA